CACCAAGGAACCGGAAGAGTACCGGTGGAGGGTTAGGGTTCTTAGAGGGCGCGTTCACTCTGCATTAAAGGTCCCATTAAAATAAGCTTCTGCTTAACTGCTGAACATGAAAATGGTAGATTTAGGTAAGAGTTGAAGTTCTTTGCTGGCTGTTGTGTGTCTGCATTCAGCTGCTCAGACCTTAGTCTGCATGTTTGCTCACCATGTACAATAATGACTAAATCATCTGTTTTAGGGAAATCATGGCCCCAAAATGAGCTCTGTGCTTCTTTCAGTTTCACAGGCCATATACTGTCGGTCACTGTTTGAAAAAAAGAAAAAAAGCAGAAGGAGTAAAAAAATACACTTTAATAGGCTGAAAGGCAGGAAGTACAAATGGGTCCAAAGTGACCCCTAAACAGGGAGGGTTGAGAGGAACCGGCTGCAGAGGGTAAATAATGTTTCCTATCACAGAATAAGTTAAAGACTCAGCCTTTAATGAACAGCCCATTAAAACAGAGGGAGAAGCTGCAGTGAGAAGCCGGCGGCTACCTCACGTTGGAGTACAGACACTCATCGGAGGCGCGCCGCGGCGCAGAACCCCCGCACAGCCGGGGAACAGAGTACACCACGTCTGGGTCCCCGCTAGGAGCGCTGACCGTGGGGCGGGAGCCCCTGCTGGACAAATCCACTGCTGCGTAGATGGGCTTAGGTGTGCCGGCTGCAGCCTGCGGAGGGGAGAGCACAGCTTTTATAAATGCTCCGATACAATCGGCCCGGTTTAGAGCAGATCTTACATCACACTTTTAAATTCCAGCTTTTCCTCTACTGATGGAACAAAATGGGGAAAAATGCGTCTCAGAGCTCTTAGTCTCAGATCGCTTAGGAAAAACTCCTCTGTGATGTCTGGGTGGCAGTCAGGACGGTGTGCGCTCACCCTCAGATGTGCATGCAGACCCACTGACTTACACACACACTGGACAGATGTGCATGCAGACCCACTGGCCTCCACACACACACTGAACAGATGTGCATGCAGACCCACTGACGTCCACACACACTGGACAGATGTGCATGCAGACCCACTGACTTCCACACACACTGAACAGATGTGCATGCAGACCCACTGACTTCCACACACACTGAACAGATGT